AAAATTGTTTTTCTCTTAACTTTTCTTTTTACTAGTATCACTGCTAGCTTTCTTTGGAGCCATGACTGAGGACTAATGAAGAGGAGAAAAAAGGCACAGTACAATAAAATTGGAAAAGAAAAGCACACGAATATATGCAACACGGTGGTCGAAATGATTCCGTTCGGATTAACTCGGCTCTGCTCGGTTCGGCAATGTTGTTCGAGAACTGAAATTTTGTTTGATAACGGAGACATTTTCATCTCGAATATTCTGTTCGAAAAACCGATTTGTTCGACATGAGAGACGTTGAAGAACAGAGGTTGCACTGTATTTAAAAAAAAATGAGTGCTTGATTGCGATGAGATGTCTACCTTCTTTTATGGCAGTGAAAACTGGATAATGCCGTCACAAGAGAATAAGTGGTTTTACCTAGGAATGCCATGTACAGAACACGTGATAAATCAGGAAGTTTTAAAAATATGAACTATATTTGTTGTTTTCTGCGTTTTAGCCCCATTTGGCATAGATTGCCATTATGCATTTGTTCTGGACTGTGATGACGAAGAATTCCGTTTCTTCACATCTTTCTTCTTTTTCTTGAAGACTGATCAACAAATTATTATGATTATGTTTTGTCACACAGTGACAAATTTTTATGAATACACTGGATACAAGTCACAACAAGAAACTCAGACAGATAACACTTTTCACAAGATATGCGTAGTGTCCAAAGGTGACCAAAAGTTGATATGGTGTCCATAGATGGTGAAGGAATCACACAATTTTAATAGGATTGATCCAAATGCGCCAATCACCACTGGAATCACCTTGACATTCCCTCAACTCATTCCAAACAATCTTGCCAGATCAACTTTCAAATGAGAGCAGTTTGCAATCTTCTCAATCACAATATTTGTGTCATTTGGTATGGTAATATCTATAATATGACAGTTCTTGGTACTTTTATCTAGTACAATAATATCCGATCGGAGGCGGTGTATCACTCTATCTGCCTGAAAACCATAGTTACAAAATATTGTGAGCTTTCCAAATTCTTCATTTGTTCTACAAGACTCATGCTTGTACTAATTTTCCATTATTATTATTATTATTATTATTATTATTATTATTATTTGTGGTGTTCTCACTCCAACGAGAACACTCACTAGTGTCTTTGGATAGAGATCAAGGGACAACAAGCATCTTTAATACTAAAGCACTCTCCTTAGTATTCTATTATTATTTGTACTCATTGAGTTACTGTGTTTTAAGACAGATGGTAACTTGTGGCTTTGTCTAGTGTTAAAGAGGCAGCACTCTCCTCAGTATTCTTACTGATTTTATTAATGGTCCGTTTATTCGAATAGATAGCGAATTAGGTGAGTACATCTAAATAGAAAGTGAAGTACAACAAGGATGTGTTTTCTCGTTAGATTTATTTAATCTGTACAGCGAGATGGGACTAAGAGAACAGGAAGACCTACCAGGATTTGTTATCTGCATCCGTAAACTTAGTGTCATATGCGCAAGATATTTTGCTATCTACATATCAGAATAGGAAGGAAAACTAAATGGACTATCAAAAAGTGTAATCGTGAAAGCGAGAAGAAAGGGGTAACAATAAATTTTTAGAAGACACAATGACCAATAGTGAGCAAAAGAGGCAACCGAAGATGTGGGTTACAAAACAGGGACGTCAAATTTAAATTAGCGCTGGATTTAACTGTCTAGGAAGTGTAATAGCAGACGACAGAAAGCGTGATAGAGAATTCCGAAAGCGCATTGAAATAGTGAATGGCACTTTTCGGAAACAGGGCACTAAGGAATCAAAGAATAAAGGAAAAAGTGTGTACGAGACTGCTAGATGATGTTTGACCTTCTATATGTCATTTATTGTGAGACAAATTCGTCACGAATAAAAAATAAACTTGAGACAAGATCTGGTTTTTAATGTTAAAAATACCATTGACAGAATAAGGTAGTTTTAAGAAAATTAGGAAAATTTGGTTTGGTTTGTTTTACGGCATATCACCCTCAATGGGTTATTTAATGCCGACATTTTTTTTTCCTGGTAATATTTTGTTTTGTCAAAAATCTATTTCTGGTAATATTTTTCATTAAAAAATGTATTGCTGGTAATATTTTTTTTTTTTTCAAAAAGTATTGCTGGTAATATTTTTTCCTCAAAAGTGTATATTCGGAGTTAACTATTTACCCATAGCTGAGACCCTAACAAGCGCTACCACCCCGAGTCAGGGTGGACTTGGGGCAATTAAGAGGTGGTTCCACGCTCCTCAAATCCTCCTGATCAGAGGCCTTGCTGTTGAACGTAGTTTATCGTCTTACCCAGGAGGCGGATGTAGTTTAGCGTCATACCCAGCACGGAACTTGGAAAAGAAACTCTTGCTAGCAACCAGAAAGCAACCAGAAAGTTTCATAATGAGAAAAGAGGCCTTGGAGAATTTAACACTCGCAAGAGTCATCGAAGACAAAAGCAGCAGAGCGGCAAGTAACGTTTTTGACAAGTTTGTACAAATTAATGAATGAACGGGTGTGACAGAAAGTGAGGGCTATAAATGAGAAAGTATTGCTCAGAGCAGTAAAAGTTGTGGATAGACACCATCGTCCTCATCCAGAAGGAGCATAGTATATAGGAATAGATTGTATGATGAAGCATTGAAAACTAAAACGACGGCTGCTTACTTCATTTTAAACCAGTTATTCTTTTTAAGCATTTCACTCCAAGAAAGGCGATAAAGCCACTAAGACGCAATGAGTTTGACTTTGTATCAGTTTAAATTTTTCTTTTGATTTCTCCTCTGCCGATCGTCAACACCAGCTGGACAACACCGGGACTGATTAAGTTTTACATACCGATTTAGATATTCTGTAAAATTCGAATACGGGTTCTGGAAGGTTCGACTGGACTAAATTTGAAAAGAAAATAAAGAAAATAATGCCATTTAAATTTGTTCAAAATGCATCAGTCTCATCCTTGACTTAAATGAAGAATTATTGCCACTTACTTGACCGAATTATACACATTCCAAGCGGTGGGAAGGGAGTAATATTTGACTATTACAACTTCAAATGAAGAAAGAATTGGTTTGTAGGCGATTGTTTAAATACAAAGTAATTTTATCTGTTCATATCTTGATATGACAACTATCAAACAATCTTATGGGCCCCACCTGTCGTCGACGGAAGAATGTGGAATAAAGGAATTTAGAACGAAGGAACTTTACAATTTTTTAAACTGGATTTTTAGCGACTGCACAGATCGTCTGTTTGTCAAGAAAATATAATTCAGTAAAACTGGGAAGTGTTTGTCAACAATTGAAAACAAGTCTCCTATTCATGTTTTATGTTCTATTTCCTCTTATTCTCTTATTCAACCAACTACTTCCGGTCATTCGTAACTTTGACGACAAAAAAAAAAAAAAAAAAAAAAAGAAAAAAAGAAAGCTTGGTGATCAAACATCGCCTTCCCCTTGTACTTGGAATAAAATTGAATCAAGGTTAGATTCTGAACATCCTACAGTTGTACACCATTTCAAGTGGGTATACGGATCCCCGACACAAATCACTAAACATATCTCAAGTTTTTTTTTCTATTAAGGGAGGCGAATAAATCGATACTTTCTAGTATCTTTTGTGGTTCTCTTTCTTATCTCTGTCAGTTATTCACCTTTTTTCCGATTTTTTCTGTCATTTCTTGTCGACATTTCTCTAATAAAAAAATGTATATATTCATAGCGTATTTATTCGTATACAGCTGGAGAAATTGTATAAATGACAAAAAGAAACAGAAAGACTAACGGCCATATCATATTGAAACAATGGTTCACGTCCGATCACCGATGTTAAGTAACCTTGGGCCTGGTCAACACTGAGGTCAACTCAAGTAGCGACAGTCTGTTTCATGCTTCAACGCAATCTTCAGGTTATGTGTGTTGTATTTTGGCTCGACTATTTATATATGCTGGTTAGTGGTGCATTATGGGTAGTAAGGTCTATTGTATTACTGTGACTTTTATTGGATTGGCGGTATCAGTTATATTTCAACTTATTCTAAGGGATATTGAGTAGAAATAATTGTTTATCCCGATGTGGATATATATATATATATATATATATACATACGCTGTATTTATGATATTGAGTACTTTTACCTATAAATATAGCATATGTTAGAACTATATCATTTTTATCATTTTATATATATATATATATATATATATATATATATATATATATATGTATTTTAAGACATTTTTATGTTTATACATTCTTTTATAGAAACAAATATTTAAGTAAATGCTCTGTTTTATAATAAACAGTATTAATAACATTTACCGGCCTGAATGTCCGAAAAAAGTTTCATAGAAAATATTCATCCTCCGACAGGAATCGAACCTGTATCCTATATAGAACCGTCATTTAGCCTGACGTGACTTAACCGATCGAGCCATGGAGGATCGATCGATTGGCTAGGTCGATTTTACTGCTTTTAAACTTCAATCTTCCATGAATCTCTCACGTACATTCATATCTGCTCAAAGCGTATCCAAATATAAACAAATGACGTCACACATTATGAAATGGACAAAGTCCGACAATTGTTTTAAAACATTTTTATGTTTATACATTCTTTTTATAGATACAAATATTTAAGTAAATGCTCTGTTTTATAATAAACAGTATTAATAACATTTACCGGCCTGAATGTCCGAGAAATTTTCTGAGAAAATATTCGTCCTCCGAACTATACGGAACCTCATTTAGCCTGACGTGCCTTAAACGATTGAGCCACGGAGGATCGTTCGATTAGCAAGGTATCCAAATGTAAACAAATGACATCGATAGTTTTTTGGCGCATTTCGGACAAAAAGCATCTAATTTTTTTTTTTTTGGGGGGGGTACCTAATTAAACAATTTAAATACTTCATTTAACAGTGAGATAAACAACTCTCCAGTGGCATAATATAATTATAACCTCATCCTACTCAGTTACGGACTTACGGCCATAATACGTTGAAACACCGGTTTCCGTACGATCACCAAAGTTAAGCAACGTCGAGCCTGGTCAGTACCTAGATGGTTGACTGCTTGGGAATACCAGGTGTCGTAAGCTTGAATTTGCGGGTGGTGTGATGGATAATGGCTGGGTAATGCATTCAGCGAGACAAGCTTGCTAATCATTACAACACCTAGAAGTGCCCAAATGAGTAGCTTAGATGTGGCATATGGACGAAAGTGTGAAGCACAAGTGAGGATCGAACTCACTGCTCAGTAACTGATCTAGCGAGGCAAGCTTGCTAACCATTAGACTTATGTATGTAACAGATTTTTGGTGCTACCAAGGCATTTGCGATCTACCGTAAGTGACGCTGTATTCATTATTGCTGAAAAATGCTCAGTAAAAACGATGACCTATTTATTGTTTTTATAAATGACATCAAATCGGTTTACAATACAAATATTAAAATCATTTTTTTTATTATTATTTTTATATTTTTGTATAAGAAATTGTTAATGATTTATAATTGTCATGGGTCCTTACCTATAACTACAGAATGAACTCTTCCTAAAACTATGTATACTACGCCTCTCAAGAGAATTGAGTCGAGCCGTTTTGACTTGACGGTCGAACTCTCTGTCTCTGAGCAGAGTGGAACCCGGACGAGGCTCCGCCGAAGGGCAGAATCTCGTTCGGGGAGGTTGACCAACCCGATAGTGTTTTACAGTTTTTACGGGCATTTTTTGGGCCGAGCCTACGGGCTCGGAAAACCTACGTAAAACTCGGCCTTGTGCCACATCTTTCCCTCGGCGGGGGGGGGGGGACAAGTAAATAGCGAATCGAGTCGAGCCGATAGTAGTTCACTCCAAACCAGACTGACAGTCATACTAACACCTTCCACATCTTGTATTATTATTTCGTGTAATATACCTTCGTTATTTCTACTCTTGTGTTCGTGTTGTTCTTCCTTGGTCCTAACCTGGACCATAACAATAATAATATATAACCAGTTTACTGTTCACTGCCTTTAACCTTAACCTTAACTCCTAACCCTAAACTCGTAACCCTAACCCTAACATATTTCTTACTTCCAACAGTTGGTAAATATCACACCATAGTAGAAAATGAATAGCATATATGATACTATAGTAGAAAGTGGACGGTAGATATACTAATTAGCACTGATTTTTTTTCCAACATCGTTCGGTTAATAACACTGAAAACATTGTGTAGTAATTGAAGTCGATGGTAAGTTCTCTACAGTGTTTATAACCGATTCTTTAACCATGATAGTAAGACGTATGGGGGATTTTTTAAGTGTAGCTTAAATGTGGCACAAGGCCGAAAGTAAAGGGCACCTAGTGATATCGAATTCTCTATTCAGTTTGTAATTGATCTAACGAGACAAGCTTGATAACCATTACACCCTGTCGAGGTGACTGAAGATTTATTCGTTTGATTTTAACTTAAAACTAGAGAATTGTTCAACATTCGCGATTTATTTGCTGTTCTAAACGATTTCGAACATGAGTATATCTTTATTTACAAAGGCTAACTACAAGCCTGGACAACTAGTTAGGATCGATCTAGCTAGATGTGTACTGAATGGTTTATGAGATCAGCGAATTAACCTTCACGCTAGGGCAAGCGTCCAATTTAGAGTAGTAGAGTCAGGTCTGTTAACGTCTTGTCACGTAAATGCGGCCAGGACGCCGTAAATAGTCGAGGCCTTTAGGCAGAAAGCACGCGGTTTCTTTATCACTTCGTCTGTAGATTCCTCCGGTCTACCGAACCAGCCGGATCCTTCACTCAGTTTCCCCTAACTATTTCTGGAATGTTTTTAGAAAACAATCTCGCAGGTCTTCACTGTTATCTAGAAGCGTAGGTGATGAAAAAATTTTAAAAAGAAGGAAAAAAAAGAACGCTAAAGAGTCACAAGGTCAAGGAAAAATACAGCACTAACATTCAACTTTTACTTTCAAGGGAATGTTGTTGTTGTTTTCTTCACTGTTAAGCTGACTAGACTCGATTCAATGGACTAATGTTGGTATATCTGGGCTGGATCTGCCTAGTCCTCACTCTCCAGTCTTGGTAGAGTTCAAAAGCGTCTACGCGACCTTGTGGGTGATGAATTATTTCCCACTCTAAATCCACCTTTCCCACAGGCGAAACATCGCAAGCCTTTCGCTACTCTATCGCTATTTCCACGGAAAATGTTCTGACGAGCTACAATCATTAGTTCCACAATTTCAAACTTTCACCGCTATGGTGATTTTCTAACTTAGCTTAGATGTGGCACAAGGTCAAAAGTATAGGGTACCCAGTGAGGATCGAACTCACTATTCAGTTGCAATAGGTCTAACAAGACAAGCTTGCTAACCATTACACCATATGAAAGTGCCCCTTTTTTCTGGGGGTAGCTTAGTTGTGGAACAAAGCCAAACGTATGGGGTACCCAGCGAGGATTGAACTCACTATTCAGTTGTAATTGATCAAGCCAGACAAGGTTGCTAACCATTACACCACGTCAAAGTGCACAAACTTTCACAGATATGACTCGTCACGTCACGTACCCTTGGACGGATCATCCCTAATCCCTTTGTGTTTCATTAGTAAGGAGTAAGTTCCATTCGGACAGCTTCTTCCGAAGAACCCCTACTGTGTGGAACAGACTCTTGAGGCGATGCTTTTCCGATCGCTACAATTTTAACCTCTTCAAGTCTAAGGTTAAACGTTATTTTTCTGATATATCCTCATAATATGCACGTCTTACCTACTCTTTACGTTCCTATAAAAAAAAAACTCCCTCTGCCGTGAGTGGCTCTTGAGCCTTTTATTTGGCGGATAATTAATAACGCAAAAAAAAAAAACAAGATTTGCGGGCCGATAAAACTTATTGTAATCAAAATTCTGAATATTTAACAAAAAGAAAAAATACAATATATTTATATAAAACACGTTTAAGCTTTTATTTATTGCCTTCTCCACGGGTTTGGATCCCGAATTGTCTTTCCCCGACATTAGTTTTTGACAATGACGTTCCCACCGTACAAGGCCCGAGTGTTCTGGGTATGACGATAAACTACATCCGGTAGTAAGGTCTCTGATCAGGAGGTTTTGAGGAGCGTGGAACCATCTCTTAATTGCTGTTGTTATTCAGCTCCACTCTGTATTGGGTGGTATTTGCCCATAACTGGGGCCCTAATAGATTTTTACCAGCAATACATTTTTGAAAAAAAAAAAATACTATCAGCGATACATTTCTGAAGAAGAAAAAAAATATTAATACATATTCTATTCATACGAACCTATACTAAAAAAAAAAAAACACTTGTTGGCGTTAAATAACCCATTGAGGCTGATATGCCGTAAAAAAACAAAAACACATCAAACCAAATCAAGGACCGAGAGCCACTCGAGGTAGAGGGTTACTGAGTAAGAGGCACCGCTTATGCGGATATGTGTGGAAGATAACGGTTAACTCGAGAATTGAACAGGTTAAGATTGTAGTTAACGAGGAAGCAAACTCTTGGGGGTCGGTTCCACAGGGTTCGTGAGAAGCTGCTGCTTGAGTAGAACTCACAAAGGGAATAGGAAGGTGGTTCGCTACAATGTGCGTGGCATGGCGGTTCTTATTTATGAAGTCCGAACACTTTCCATGGAAATAGCGATAGAGCAGCGTCTGTGAAAGAAAGGTTGCAGGGTGAAAAATAATTCGTCACCAACGAGGACAGAAAGACGTTTTTGGACTCTATCGAGACAGGAAAGTGAGGGGTTAGTCTGCTCCTGCCTATCTATAGCATCAGTACTCCATTTTCGGTCTGATCTGGCCTTTGTAAAGATAGAGGATAGCAGGAGGAGTGAGGTACTTGCTGGAACGATACAGGGAACCGACCCTTTTTCCAGCATCTTTAGCAGTGGATTGAGTATGTATGTACGAGTTGCACTAATAATCAGGGATGACTTTATAATTATACGTTTCTGGTTCCTTCTAAAATTTTCTCATTCTATCTTAAACCCCTTGCTTCTTAGTGGCATTATCACCATCAAGATTAAAAATACACACACACACACACACACACACACACACACACACAATATACACTGCGTGCCAAATTATTATCGAGATAACTTTTTTCTAATATTTCAAAAACAGTCCAATCAATTCACACAAAATTTTCACACAATGTTAGCAACACTGACCTGCGCAATCACTGAAATTTTCGTATTGATCTGCGCAAAAACAAACTGGCGCCATGTTTGTTATGAGCACAGTGATTTGAGCGTGCCAAATTATTAGAAAAGTGTAAAAATTTAGTGAAAAGATGGGCCGTAAAAGCAGTTTAAGTGATGCTGAAATGAAAACTATCTCCTCAGAAGTCTCAAAAGGTAAATCTACCCTAGAAATTTCTAAAATGATAGGGAGGTGTCATCAGACAGTGAAAAAGTTCATTGCCGATCCTACACAAGTACGCAAAAGGGCAGATAAAGGCAAGCCGAGGGTTATTTCACGTCGTCTCATGTCATGACTTAAACGAGAGGCCACGAAGAACCCTGGACTTACCAGCCAAGAGCTTTTCAGTCGCATTGGGGATCCTACTGTGTCTAAAAGTACTCGGTGTCGGTATCTGAGGGAAATAGCAACAACAATCAAACCTGTATCGAAGCCTCCATTGACAAGAAATCACATTCAAAACCGATTGAAATGGGCCGAGGACAATATGAAGATTGACTTCTCTAAAGTTTTGTTCACAGACGAACCTCGAGCAACACTTGATGGGCCAGATAGATGGTGCAAAGGCTGGGTAATGAACGGACAGAATCGCCATCAGCGTTTAAGACGCCAACAAGGCGGTGGAAGCATAATGATCTGGGGTGGTATTATTGGAAAAACATTAGTGGGCACATGGAGAGTACCAGATGGCGTCAAAATGACTGTTGATGCATACATAGCGTTTATGAAGGAGCATCTTGAACCGTAGATGAAAAGGCAAAGAGTTACCTTCAGAAGGGCCATTGTTTTTATGCAAGATAATGCTCCCTCACATGCTGCTCACAAGACTACTGAATATTTGAAACAGTTAGGCTTCGATGGACCTCGAAAAATGAAGT